AAGTAATTTAAATTCACTTTGTAGATTGCGCGCGCATTCTAGTACAAATTTTGACAATACTCAGTCCTAATTGGGTGCTCTTTGAACTGCTCTAGCAAGGCATTATAGCAGGAGTTTCAAAAGGAAATGAATATCGTTCAGAAAAACAACAAGAAGTGAGATGCGATAATTTTCGTCCCTTGGGAAAACGATTCCTGATTATTTTGTCTAATCCTAAAGATTTAAACTGCCATTAAAAATAGTTGTTTTACAATGAACCTAAGAAGAGTTACTTTTTGTGAAACTTGGACATACATTTTTTATTGTTCACTTATTGTCATCTGGTGGTGTAGGCAACACATCAAACACACCTGATTGTAGTATGAAACTTTGCCAACATTAAGCCGCATTTATAGACAAAAATGCATATTTCTTTACTTTTACTTTTCATATGCTACACCTAACAATAAATTGTCAGATTTTTACTTATTTGGAGAAGATAGGAATCATATAAGCATTTATTTGTTGTCAAAATTTTAGCGTTTTTCATTTTAGATTGAGAAACGTTTCTTTGTTCTTCAATAATTTGGATACAAAGAATTCCTTGTGTTCATAATCTTTCGTCTCTGTTGTGGTCTTGGCAAGATGCAAGATAGTAAAATTAAAAAGGTGAGATAAAAAGTTCCACAAAACTGAAAATGATCGCCTTTTAAAGATTTTCTTGCGGTGGAATAAAAGCATTAATGGCATACAAGTGTAAAGTTTACTGTCAACGAGCTGTCAATCAAATTGATTCATAAGTAAAATAGGTAATCTGTACTACTTTAGTCCTCGTGTAGCATATAAAATTTTATCTACGAATTCAGAATTCGTTTATTATTTTTATATTTGCGCTTCGAAATGAGCGCGACAATTTAATGTACCAGTCTGATGGTGAGCAAGGTAAGTGGAATCTAGGCTACTGTCGTAGATATAAAATGAAATAGTTTCTTTACGTTTATTTAACAACTTGTGGAGAAACAAAGATGAGAAAATTAAGTTACATAAATGGCGCGTTTACCCATATGTTGGAACACTCAGTATTAAATTAATATTGGTAGATAGTACTTATCATAACAAATGCAAGATCAAGATTGAGATACGTATCTAATCATGAGCTATTTCTGTTAAAATACAGTGTTAAGTACGACATTTTAATTGATTCCTAAAATACAAAATCATAATTGATATGGTGATATTATTATCTGTAGTACTATATCGTCTAATTTTTTGTTTAAGGACATGTATTCTCAATCATCTTCGTACGCTATCCACTTTTCAGTAATGTATCAGTTCTTGGAGTAATTATTACTATTAACATTTTACTTCTAGTTGTCAAAGTCTGATAACAGAACACTAAACAGAACTATGAAAATTAGCAATAACAATTTAATTTCTTTACCGCAAATAAACCACCGAACAGAGCATGTGACTGTTCTTGCTACAACTGATAACAAACGACGTCAATAACAAATACTATATATACTTACGGATAAAACAAGTTTGCTTGTGGTATTTATTTCTTAATCTATGATAATTCTTAGTGCCAAACGTAAAGTTTGAGAAATGGTATTTAAATTTTCAGGTCCTTCGTTCTATTTATACTTCCCGGGAAACAACACGTGTTGTAATAAGGCCATTTTGACAAATATATAAACTCACCGTTGTCTTCACACATTAGAGCTCGTAGAATGTGCAAACGTAATTTCCTCGTTACCGTGTCTGATGGAAATTTATTAGACTCTAGAATTATCGAACGTATTTATGACGCTGTAAGTCACTGTATACGGTGCTGAAGGCTAATTAAACATGTCCATTCACCCTCTCCAAGAACTGATGACATCATTTTAAAATAGTTTTAAGGAAATCTCACTCCTTACCTGCAGTTTAATTTAGTTTTGTGGCAGTAGTACTAATCGAAAAACGTGCTTTACACTGACTACTAAACTACTGTATTGGGGAATCATGATTTTTAAAATTTGTCCCCCCCCTAAGTCATTAATTAATTATTAATCATAACTGGCATGACATAACAGGCAAAAATTAACAAAACTGTACCAAGAAGATTAGGTACCTGCTTTTTATAAACAAAGATGGGTACAACTAATAAATTTCAATTATCTTTTTCTTTAATAATAGACATGTTATCTTATAATAAAGTAGAATGCCGCGTTCATGTGATTTAATTCCTTCAAGTGATAATTTTTACTGCTCGATAAAATTATAAAACATGTGTAGATGGGCAGAATATCGACCAAGTGCATCGCCTCCAGAAAGTTAATTATTATTATGTTATTTTACAGGTTAATTTTTTTCCGACAAAATAAATCTAACAAGAGTAATTTTAATTTTATCGTTGGAAATTTTTATATTACCTGATATCATCAACACAAGAAGTATGTGCTAGTTATTTCCGTAAAAATTCTTTGCGATAAGAATGGAATCACTAAAAACTTAAAATCTGACGTCAATTCCTGATAAAATCACGACCTTTAGAACATTATCTCCTCTCAATCAACTATCGGTTTTATCAAATAAATCGACAAACCTCGTTTCCTCAGATTTTTAAATTAAATGGTTAGTCTGCTCCAACCTGACAATCTGATCTATGAACTCATCCGAAAGTATGCAATTAAAATGCCATAAACAAATTGTTTCTTCAAACTCTAATTAGTAGAAATGAATCAGTGAAACGGCAAAACCAAATCTGCTATCCTTGAATGACCGTCGCCAAGTATACGCCAATCTTTGATAAAATCGGCGTGAAAGCGATTAATAAATAAATTATGAATTGGAAGAGATGATAGCGACCTATGACACGTCTAACCTTTGACTATCCTTCAGTCAAGAACGATCATATAACAATTCACGACACCTCATGTAACACGTAATATTTTGTCAATGGAATAATAAATAAAAGTCAGGGTTTCATTAACCATATTATTTAATATCCTCCTTTAAATTGTTTACGCACAAGTAAATTTAATTTTGTTTGTCTGCGATCAAAACGGAGAAAGCGCGGAGTCCCTGGCGTATTCGCATTTTATTGCGAATTCATGGATTTTATCTTTGATCACGCCTAAATCCGAACCACTGACCCGAATTATGCGACAAAAATAAAAATATCTGAATCACCTCTGGATTTGCTTATCGTAACAAGTTAATGCTGATTTTATGCGTACATTTAATTTTTTTGGTTTTTGGATGAATTTCGCCACCTGTACGTTGTGAAGTTTTTGTTATTTCTGAGCCGTCCAAAAGTTTTTTTCTTTTTCAAATGTCGATTTATCGCCTGACTGAAAATCCGCAGTACTCCCATTTGTAAAACTGTCAATTAGTGAGCGCATCCTGTTCTTAGAATAATGATGGGTTTCAGAAAATTTACTTACACATAATTACCAGAATTTCTGGTAGCGCTGGTCATTTTCCCGCCAAAAACAAGACACGCGAAATCTAACCACACACAATTCATTTGAATAAATTTAGCCTCTAGGTGTAAATGAAAGTACACAAAACTTGCAGAATGCAGTAAGAGCAACACTTTCATCTTTTTCGTTTGGTTTTTGTTTATTTTTCGGTGTGAAATCCGTCCGTCGTTGTAGAATATCTAACTATTTCCGTAATTAGTACGTCGAGATAATCTAGTCATAAACAACCACTTCATCAGAATTAATAAATAAAGCTTACACACCAATTTGTGGCAATAATACAAAATTTCGTCTTTGTTTCTGATTAAATGAAAATCAAATTTAATCTACAACAATGGGATTATTAATCTTTATGGTGCCTAAAACCTAAGATAAAACAAGGTTAATATTGAAGAGTTTGTAAATGAGGAGTATTGTTTGATTGTGGAAAATAAACGGCAGCATGTGATTGATTGCTACATTTATCACATTTTCCCTTAGTTCAGTTACATTCATGTTGTTGTGCTAAAACGTTGATGGCAATTCTGTGAAAGAAGATAATCGTGTGAAATAGTAATGATTTCGAGAGAAACTGTGACGAGTATTTTCATAGAAGTGTTTTGTTTTGACAGAAAAAAGTAATTTTTCCAGAAGGATTAGGTCATTCTTATTATACAAGGTGCAATAAAGAATGATTTACAGTGTTTAATAAATAATGACATTTCTTAAGTAGCAATCTTAGTTAACGTATAAAAAGTGATTTAAAAGAGGACAAAAAAGTGAGTACATTTCTTCATAATTTGGACTACGTGAAGAAAAATAACATTTAAAAATTGGCATCAAATTATCTTTCAGATTCTACGTTTCAAAAACAGTTTGAAGACTTTCTGGTTGCTGTTTTTCAAGGTTATGACTTCGGCTAAATTTATTTAAGTGAGAAGAAGCTAATATAGAATGTTTTCATTGTTAAAAGTCGAATTTTGTATCCTGTTTTAAATTACGCATAGAAAAATAAAGTTAAATTGAATGACATCACAACTTTAATTGGGTAAAATATTTTCATCACTGTTCCTATTTTTTTTTTCTTTTTTAACTCTTTTATCAGTTCCGAATGTCATTTTTCAAATAATGTGATCTGATTATGGTCAGTGTCAAATTCAAGAGCAATTTTTTAAGATCATCTTCTCTCTAAAATTGGTGAAGCTTTTCATCAAGTACATATTTCTAAAAGTTAGTATCTCAATTATTTATTGAAATTTCGGAATGCGGTTTCCAGCTTACAAAACTATAAATCGTAGGAAAAACACTAAAGACTTTTTTTTTTAACAGAAATAAATGCAGTAAAAGAGGGTTGTATCTCATTTCCGCCAAAAAAGTCGACAATATTTTTTCTATGAGATCGAATTTTATAAGCTGAAAACGATGGTGAATACCGCGTTCCGAAATTTCTATAAATAATTGAGATATTGATTTTTAAAAATACATGATAAAAAAGTACTTTTTTGTGGTTTCATGTTTCTAGTTTAAATGATGCGACAAATAAAATTTGAGAGTACAAAAAAAAAAAACACTCACCAGTGTCGTTTAGTAACCCTCGTATCGTTTCATCGTTAACTCCTTCTGTCTCGGTAGACATAGCTGAAAATAATATACAAGTTAATAATAAATTCATATAGAGACCTACACAACATTACAAACAGGTCTAATTTAAATTAATTTAAATTTCTAAGTAATTTTCTGTTAAAGATAGTGAACGTAAACACTATAAATTGTGGTAAGGGAAATAAAAATTCCGCTCGTGTTAATAAAATATAGTAATCGTTAATTCCATTTTTATAAGAGTAATATTCATTTCTAGAAAAATAAAAATTAAGTGTCCATCAACTTGCTTACTATCTGAGGGAATTTTTGGGTGTTTTCACTAAGTACTTAGTTAATAGTAAATTACGTGCATTTTTAAATTGACGCAATTATGATTTAAATATGTAGTACATTTTGTTTTTTATTTCCTTCGTTTTATTTATCAATTACACCCACTAAATTAAAATAAAAAAATCTATTTTGTAAATCCTCGATATTGATATTTAATAGTAATCGATAAAATAAGGATTTTTTGGTCATTTTTTGATGATGCAGCATAGGATTGCGTTATCTTCCGATAAGGTAGTTAAGTTTCCTTATTACTTCTAACGATCCTCAAACATTTTTATTCTAAATAATGTTCTTCACTAAAATCATTATTTATATTTAACGTTCCCTTTTTGTAACAATGCAGACAAGTTTTCGATTGTCTTAACAAAATAAACTTGCAAAAAAAAATTACTACAGTGACCGCTATCGATGTTATAGATAAAGTATATGAGTTTGCCATGGAATCTGTGGGTAGCAAACGTTCTCACAAATACAATATAACGAATATTATATCATAGAACTGATGGAACCATTCGGAATACATTATTATTATAACTTAGAAACAAAAATTTTAAGTGTCCTATGAATGTAATGAATTGTTAAGGTTATGACATCATGGAGAGTCAAAAACCTTACATATATTTCTAGTTTTCATCCTTATCTATGTACATTTAAAACTAACGTTGTACTTTTTGAACAATAGAGTTAAAACCATGAAAAATATATGTGGCTAAAACATTAAATCGTCAAAATTTCATTAATTTTAAAAAACATTTTCAAAAGCGAACATTACATTTTCAACACAACAAAGTAAAAACAAAAACTTTTCCAAAATAGTAGTTCTATTTTGATTTGACCAAAACCCTTAAAATTTATTAAATAATTTCAACCCCACTGCTACACATTCTAGCCGTACGTTGTAATCCGACAGTGTTCAAAAACGGCACTTACGTTTAACTTTAAATATCATTGTGCTGAATTTGTCTGAATCACAACCACTCACCACTAGAACAATAACTGACTGATACAATTTAAACCTCTTCACGCTTATATTCAGTGATAAAAAAAAGATAGTAGATATTTGAAAACAGGATGATATAAGATTAGCTTCAACTAGTGCAGATTTGGATATAATATAGCAATCAGCAGATGTCCTAATCACGTTAAGTGGAATTATTTTTCGTTGTTTATAATTATTATTTGTCATTAATTTATAACATAATTCCTTTAGAGTGGAACTTGAGAGTTATGAATGACATACCCGTGATCAGGAAATGCAAGTCAGACGATTATAAAAAATAAAAAGAAACCGAGTCATAGTGACTAGAAAACAAGTTGTGTTTCAGAGAGAAATGCCCTTACTAATGAGTAATTTAATGTATTAAAATTAATGTTATCACAAAAATTTTGGAGTTAGTGTTAAGTATTATTGTGTATTAGTATATAAATTATGTTCCTTCTTTTGAAATATGCTATACTTACGTATAATAAAAACTGAAAAAATAGTATAAATTAATTGAATTAGATTTTACTTTTAGTAACAATTATTTTGTTAATAATTATTAATTAATGTGTGTTCTGGTGGTGCGTTCGTAAATAGCCGCGTTTATTTTAGGAAACCGGTCTGTTATAAAAATATCCATTATTCCACGCGATTCCCACCATGAAACAAATTCAATTAGCTAAGTAGGTAGGTCGCATATTGATTTAGATGAGGTTTAGGGAGTGACAATCTTCAAGCAAGCTTGATCTAGTTCTCGAGAAAGAAACTACCATTATAACCCCAAAGTGATCACATTGTCTGTCACTTATCAAAAAAAGGGTTCCCCTTCATCCACCTAGACCTAATTTCTTCGTATCACTAAGTTATCTAGTTAATCTCATTTTGCAATATTTCTGAAATTTTATAACTTTTACCTTATCTGCGTCAACAACAGAGCAACACCAGCTTAAACAATTTCGAATAATTCGTTACGTTCGTCGAAACTAGAGCATGATCGGAAAAAATATTAGACATACTTTTACCTGAACAATCCTTTTAAAGTGAAGATGGAATTTAATCTGTATTCTTCGCATGAATCAGGTCTTTTTTTAAACGAACTTGTTATAGAGGGATAAGGTAAAAGTAAGCTATAAATTGAACATACTTAGACTGTACCAGCGGCAGGTGAGACACTCGACTACTGAAAATTACGGAAACGAAGTCTGAGTTATATCAGTGTTAAAATAATTAATACGCTTGCACAATCGATTTTTGCTGCGAGTGCCGTAAAGGAATGACAAATAATTATAATATTCCATCTAATTACAACACGCTCGAAAAAAATGCAAGGTTAAACACTGCATTACAAGATCAGTCTTCTTATTTATTTATTAACACAAGGTAAACGGCAAATATTTGTCTAACCGTATTGTCGGTTATTAGTGTTATGACTGTACAGAGCGACGGCATTATTACGCGAAGATTTTTCTAAAATTAAACATAATGAGAGTAGAAACGGGTTTCGTGTTATATTATAATGAATGAAAATTTATAAAAAGTGCACATAACACAATAGGTTAACCTCTGCCAAATGTCATACACAATATATGGCGATGTAATAAGCATTTACATAAAACATTTTCACTTTCTTTCATAAAAGAAAGTGACATGTGAGAAGAATTGATAATGACGTCAGTTCTTTTCTCCTTTAAAAAATAAACGATTCTTTCTTGCCAAAAATTGTCGATAGATCAATTTCTCTGTGACTTAGTAGAGAAATTTTTACGCCGTATGACAAATGCGTACTTTACCCTTATCAACAAATCACATCCGATGATGAAATTGACTATTGTCTTTTGATTTCTCCGAATGTGTTTATATTTTCGCATAGTTTATGTTTTTATCAAATGCATTTGACGGTATTGACGAAAATAACGCAGTTTACGTCTCCCTGAAATGTCACCCTTGAAAATGATAATACAAATATTTTTGAACTTGGTGAACATAATTCTGATTTATTACAGGTAGATACGCGTTTTGAGCGACAATAAACACCGAGCATTATTAATGGATATATTAACTACCTATAATAAAAAACACTAAATTAAACGTGTTACGTAACTGTAAGTAAAATGGGTAAATGAAACAAAATGGAACTTGCCAGACTTCTACTGCAAAGTACAATACGATCTATCTGAATGTATAATGAAGAACGTCAGTAATGAATGATACATATTGATACAGTACGATGAAAAAATATTTAACAATCATGTAGCTTCAGGCATTAAGATCAGGGTCAAGGTAAGTACTTTATAATGTTTAGAAGAATGATTCATGTTGTATTATTGTGTTAAATGCGTCCCATCAAGTGCGTTTAAACTTTTGTATTGAAAGTTAATTCCTGGGAGAGTGCATATAGAAAAGAATAAGTGCATTGTTTGATATTGTGGTTTCACAAGTCTATTAAATGTAAAATTATATAGAAGGGGAAGCGTTTGAAGTAGCACATTAATTTTTTGTATGATTTAATTTGGGTTGCAAATTTTTGAATTTTAAAATGGTCAAATAAGCTGAGTCATTTGCTTACGAGATTTTATAAATTACTGAGCTTTTATGAAGGTAGGTAAAGACAATGATTTTTATTTGTGTTGTTGTAGGATTCTCAATCATGTCGTGTAGATGGTAAAACATCAACAACAATTTGATGACGGCGTCTTAAAATTTTTGAAAGTAAATTCCATATGAATTTTATAGAATAGCATAGAGTTTTATACTTGCGGTTTATTAATCCGCCTTTATTTTTCACTTTCGATGGTTAGATTTTTGAGGAAACAATGTAAAACAACAATTTACAGTTTAACTTAGAAATTATAAAATCGACTTCCAAAGTCCTAAAACGTTTTAAAGTGATCGTAAATATGGTAAATCGCGATCAAAAATTTTTGAGTTTGTCCTCCAAAAACTTGCCACATACTTCAGAATCCACCACTGAAAAATGTGGAGATGATCCGTTTAGTATGGAATGACGAACATTTGATTTCTTGAAGCTTTCCTGTTCTACAAGCAAATTTTCAGGCCGAATACTCGATTCGTTTAGCGTGGAGATAGAAATTTGTAGGGAAGCCTCATTTTTGAGTCAAACAGTAACTTTTTTCAAATTTATTGAGGTATAACTCCAAAACGGCACAAGGTACTGTATTGCGGTTGGAAGCATTCGATTTCTTGAGAAAGAAATTTTCAGAACAGGTTCTGGGTCCGTTTAGTTCGGTAAGATGAATATATAGAAGGTGCAATTTTTGAATTACAGAATAGCTGTTTTTTTCAAATATAATTAGACATAACACCAAAACGGCACAAAATGCCGCGTTTCAATTTGAAGCATTTGATTTCTTGAAGTTTTCTTGCTCTTCAAGCAAATTTTGTGGCTGAATACTCGATTCGTTTGCCGTGGAGAGAAGTCGGGAAGTCTCACTGAGTCAAAAAGCAATTTTTTTCAAATTTAACGAGGTATAACTCCAAAACAACAGAAAGTACCGGATTGCGGTTGCAAGCATTCGATTTCTTGAGACTTTGTAGTCCTAGAAACAGATTTTCAGCGCAGGTTTTGGATCTGTTTGGTACGGAAAGATGAATATATAGAAGGTGTCATTTCAGAGTTAAAGAACAGTATTTTTTTCAAATTTAACGAGAAATAATAACACCAAAACGGCACAAGATACCGCATTCTGAGTTAAAGCATTTGACT